AGGGGAAACACACAAAAACGGCGTCCACCCGAAGCAACCGAATCGGAACTAATGAGGTGTGGAGACATACTATTGCTTGTTAGAATAAAAAAGCAAAAGAAAAAATGATACAGATAATGATAAGTTGAGTAAGTTTGTGGATTAGTTATATCCTCATTTTAGGTTTTAACTGAAGGAATTTAATTTAATAATCCCAATTTATATTAGTGAAATTCAGCAATTTTTATTTATGAATTGGGATTATTAAATTAAATACCCTCAGTTAAAACGATCTTATCTGACGCAGCCGAGACCTACTCATTTGGAACCGTTTATAAACTTTCGGCGACTGGCAAAAACAAGAGAAGACATACAAAAATGGCGTCCACCCGAGGCAACCGGGCCGCAACTAATGAGGTGTGGAGACGTCATATTGCTTGTTAGAATAAAATAGCAAAATAAAAAATGATACGGATAATGATAATAGAGAGGATTTGATATTTTTAAACGACGAAATGCAAACTATGTGTATTTTGTAACCTATTTTGTTCAGTCGTATTAAACGTCGCAGTGTAATTAATGCAAAATTGCGGAATTTCACCAATATAAATTAGAATTATTAAATTAAATTCCTTCAGTTAGAACATAAAATGAGGGTATCACTAATCATATAAACTTACTCAATAAAATGTATAATGAAAATGACATAGTAAGTATAAGATTAAAGATTTGTAGATCGATTTTAGAAGAAGACAACGATGGATTTGTCTTGATCCGCTGTCATTTAGTTTTGTTGACACGTCCAGACTGATGCTTGCCATTTCAGGCATCCTATGGCTTTTTGGAATAAAATAAAATAAGATATCAAAGCAACTATACCAGTAATGATAAACACGAGGTTTCGGTGCTTTAAAGCGACAAAAGAGTAAAATGTTTATTTTCGAGCATCTTTAATTTATGACGTTTCATTTTTTATGTCGCGATATAATAAGTGAAAGATTTTGAAATTTCTCACATATAATTGGAATTATAAAATGAATTGTATCACTTTAACCACAAAATGGCCATATAGCGAAGCAAATAAACTGACTTGAAAAAAGTGTTGAATGAAAATGGCAATGAGTGTATGTGAGGAGGAAATTCGTATGTCAATTTCAAGAAAAGACATCGGTGATTTGACCTTAAACGGCTGCCCTTTTTGGTTTGTCAAGAGGTTTACATTAACTTGGTCTAAGAGGAACCTTACGGCTGCGATAAAAGCGGACGGAGTTTTCATTAAAATAAAGTAGACTTCTGAGGCTCCCAGTAAACCTCAAATAATAGTCCTAGAAAGTCTTAGGCCATTTGAAGGGATAAAGGGCTGATACTTAAAGTTATCACAAATCATGTGCCCAGTGCAATTCTTAATCTCGACTGATTTTGCCATTAAAATCGACTAAGTTACTTCTATTCAGACATGAAAGAGGAGTTCTTTTTCACACGCCTTCGCTCAAATTGAAAATTAAGTCAAAGCGGTGAAATTAATTATAAGGAGAATTTGAATAATAGAGGAAGTTTAAGAGCATTCAATATTATTCAGCTTTTTAATGTTTTTTCATTTTATTTGTTTTATTTTTATTTCTATCTGTCTTAGATATGCATGTTTATATATTCAGTATATCGTATTGAAGTATTCCGTATTGGCCGTAAAATAAATAGATAATCTATATAGTATAATGTATTAAGATATATTGTATTATCGGCGTAATTAATTAGTACTAACTAATTAATCAATTATTTATTTATTTATATATACGGAATAGAATTATAATACTTTGCTGAAGAAAGATAAAAACAAAAAATATCAGTCCAATTGTTAAAAATATTCCCATATTTATTTGAGAAGAGGCGTTCTCTCACAAAAAGCAGTAACAATCTACTTTATATAAAGTAGATAATTAATATAGTTTTTAAAAATTTCCTTTCATTACGACCTCTATTTCGAAAATCAATATTACTTAATTTCTTTACATTACCCTTATTATTCTGCATATATTTATTAGAAATGATCAATTTACAATTAATTTCTTCACCTTCAATATAATGTACTAGTTGGTCAGAGCCACAAATAGTAAGTCTGTAGATATGAAGATAAATTGAGTTGCGAGGGATTCCTTAATTAAATCCTATAACTATACCTTCATTTCCATGTGACTAGCTATCGAGACTCAAAGGAATAGTTATGACTATGGATTTGTACAAAATATTCGCCAACATATCATCTTGCCATCTCAAATCTGTAGCAAAGACTTCTTGGAAACAATCTACACTCGAAACTGCCCAAAAGCAATTCTCTTTAGGTTTTCAGCGAGGCCAACTTACGAGTCCCTTTCAGCTGCGATGTCTGGCCACCTTCGATGTTGATCTGTGGTGCAGGCTGAGTGAACATTTGCCAGAGCAAGTAAATGTGTACAGGGGCATTTTGGTACCTTTCGAACAATTGGACAAGACCATTCCAATCACGTAATCATCCAGGTGGGAGACGGACTCTGTGCTGGACTCAATCTCCGAGTGGCTTTCTCTTGTTGCTTTAACTCTTGCCACTGGCGATTTGGAACTCGAATGGCTGCCAGTCCTACTGGTTGACTCTTTGGAAGGCCAAACTGACATGGACATTATTCTAATATGCTAATATTAATTTGGGTGATTAATGAGTAGTATGAACAGAATAAGGAAAAATTGTCTGTAGCTTTCCGTTTTTACATAATGGCAGATAAGTTGTTGTATGATAGAGTCCTTCAGCGGGCAAGAATAACAAAGGATAGGAAACTCGATAATGAGGGTAGTAGGATTACTTCAAGGAAATATAAACAGTTATTGCCTGAAGAGGTTAAATAAAAGAATAATCTGTGCCATAGTACAAAAAAAAATATTCAGATATTACTAGTTAGAGGATCCTATCGAAGAACTGGAACTTCGCTTTGCTCATTAGTGAGAACTTCAAGAAAGAAGCATTAGTAGAACTAATAAGTTCAACAGATTGGCTCCCAGAGGAGATTATATATAAATAAATAAGTTGATAGGGGACTGGTGGTTGGATTTTCCCACAATCTGACAAATAGATCTTAGGCTTCCATTGAATTTCACTTCCTTCATCACCTTAAGCGAAATAGGGTAGAGACATCTCATATAATTGACTTGTTGGAAGTTTCGAAACCCTACTCATAAACGAAGGTCTCTTGCACATTGAGGTCTATTCATTTGATTGGGGCGAAATTCGACCATGGGACATGAAAAAAGTGGGTCTCGAAGACGCCCTTTGTGATTTATTGAGACATGACTTCCCGTTTGTTGGAAAGGATTTGTGAAATGATTTCACCGAAAACCGAAGACTGTTGGATTGTGCGAAGAAGTGCTGCGATTTCGATGAACCTGTGCTGAGCTTTCGTCTGTACCGTCGTGACAGACACCGCTAGGGAAAGAATTCATACTTTGCGAAACGGTGCAAAAAATATGCTAATCTACATGCTGCATGCAAGAGAGAGAGGTGGTTTGACCTCGTCTTCGAAACATGATTGTGCTGTCAGGGCAACCTGGACGAAGACACTATACAGACTCCCTCGTCATAGTACGAATGACACTTTCCAGGGTCGGATCGTGGACCTTATGCATGCCCAGATAATCTCTTTGATGTGTAAAAATGTACAAAGTTTAACAACCGAGGCTGGAAATTGTGGTAAGAACGAACGTGGAACGCCCTGACGACTCGAAAGAGTTGAAACCACGTCAATACAACAAAAAGAGGCATCGGCCAAACAGAAGGCCACACCCTCTGGGTCATCACATCCTCAAATATGAACTTTACTTTGTCATAGAAGCGACAGCAGCTCTGCCGCCGTCTGGTTGGTAGAAAAGGCTAGAAAGACCAGGTTTTATGCCTGTTTAATGTACCTGAAATGTATGCACTTGTAGTGAGTCAGCCCAACTCTTACTCACTAACCCCAGAGACCGGGCTTCCTCACCGAATTGGAAAGCTTTCCCCTCGACCGACCTCAGCCACGATTACTCATCAACGTCACCTGAGCCTGACGGTACCATCTTATGCAGCAGGCCTTTCATATCGCGTTTCCACGCTTGCGTATACACCCTCTCGTCGGCTGCGCGAATTCTCAATCGTCATGCCAGGGCCTGACTCATGCACTCGGACGGTGGACCAATCACTTTTTGCAAAATCTACCCGAAGCCTTCCCATCAGATTTAGCAAAACCCTCGAAAGCCAATCAGAAGCCCATTACCAAGCTAGACGAAGTATTTAATGGGAAAAGTTACCGATTCAAACCGGCTTCCACAGAACTGCTGCTGCGTCACGCCGACATGTCGCCTCGATTGCTCTTCCGTGTAAAACCCATAAAGCCCGGTACATCAAGGACTCGAAGTTCAACGCTACAGATTAGAGCTGAGGCCAAGCAGGAGTTCTCCCATCTGGCACCTGGTCGGAATGACGACCACTTTAGCGCGCCTCGAGACAGCATCATTGCAAGGTTCAGCGACCTTGTCGGTGGGTCTGCGTCTACAGGAGGGACCATTTGCACAACCTCAAGAAGACTGACCTCGCCCAGAGCATCATCCCAACAAGACAGGTTTCCTGCGTGGCATCTCTGCGCAGCACACCACCAGCTCTTGTACATCCTAACAAACTTGGACGAAGTTCCACTTGACTTTTGATTTCGAAATGGAAGACGATTTGATGAGATGCTTCAATTGGCTTCTCGCAGATGGGAGTGCACTATTGTACAAAGACTTCTGCTCACCATCCTTCCGAGCTTTCGTCTCCTAGACGTGGGTTGACCTCGTTGTCAAGGCGACTTAGTAGAACGCACCGAGTCCGAAGTCGTCTGCCAGATTAGTTGTCATGATTCCCAGCATCAGACAGGGGACTTGGTACATTCTCAAATGCTTCGTCGGCACAATCAGTGAGTGTTGCCATTCTCCGCACCAAACTAAGAACTCGTCACAAAGATTTGTCGTTTGAGAATGTACCAAGTCCACTGTCTGATGCTGGGAATCATGACAACTAGTCTGACAGACGTGTTCGGACTTGGTGCGTTCTACTAAGTCGCCCTGACAACAAAACCAAGTTGCGACGAGGTCAACCCACTTCTATAAATCGAAAGGAGACTGCGACCACACCATCTTGGTCTTCATATTTTCGTCTCTTAATTCAGAGACATGTTCTTTTGAGTAAACCTTTTCTTCACAGTCTTGGCAGTATCTGCCTACCAATGACCAACCTGACGAATCTTCCACTTCGTTCGGAGCCCAGATGATGAAACATTTATTATCCCAGGGAACCTGATGCGATTATTGTAGTCGATCGGACTGATTGAGAAGGCGGCTTGCGACCCACCGAACAGGTGGTCGCATGGACCCAAGTCGAGTTGATGAGGGTCCAGTGCTGAAGTTTCGTTGAGTCGACTGGCAGAGAAAAAGCTACTCGTCACCATGCGATATAGAATTTGCATTTATGACATGTATTCACCCTATTTCGTGTAATTCTATGAAGAAATGCTAGTTGAATATTCCCAAAATCTTTTGAATAGTCTTTATGCTTCCATGGAGTTTCAAGCAGCCTTGCTTCTCATCCAGGCTTGGGTGGACCGTAGATTATATGTTGGGCTACCACGAGTCGGTTTCGAGGCGTACTCGAGTGCTGATAAGACCTAGGCGAGGTCGAAAGTGCAGTCCACTCGAATTTGTACGACAAAGCTATGTGAAATTAATTGGAAACATGAGGCCTACTGATAAGATTGTAGGAAAATGTAACTACTGGTGGTCTTGAAACACTCTCTATAAGCGAGAAGTCTGGACGGTCTTGGTTCAAGCCAGTTTTTACAACTTGGTCCGGACAACAGGGAGATCTTGTGGGACGTATCTAGTCATGCGTCCGCTGTCATGGAAGACTCAGTACATTTCGAACTGCCAACGGTTCGATGCTGAAAATGATCATAACTCTTCTGGCAGAGGACACAGGACTAGGCACGTTTCACACATTCTACCTGTTGCCCCGACTAAGTTGTGAAAGCGAGGTCAAGCCGGGATAAACAAACAAAATGCCATACCATCTTGATCTTTATATTTATGAAAAATCTGGAGTAAAGTTAAGTCCGCTCAGGATGTAATGAAGAAGGATGAAGAGAAACTGTTTTGACTATTAAGTTGTTACGACGTTTATTGCTCATGGGTTAGTCCCAATGTGAAAGTAAACATTCGACTAAAACATACAAAGTTATTCTGACCGAAAAACCGCCTGCAAAAGTTTGTGTCCATAATTCACGAGAACAGATCGGTTGGTCTAGAGCCAAACGTTTTGCAGGACATTGAGATTTCACTGCTTTTGCACTCAAAGCATATGCAACCAGACACCTAACCACTGATCGGGATCGCACCATCTACATGCCCG